AAAAGAAGAAATTTGAGTTGAGTCCTGAATATATGAGAGCCATGGCACCTTATCCTGAAAGATTCAAGAAATATGCTCAGAATCAGCAATATGCCAGATTTCTTGATATCTTCAAAAAGTTGCATGTTAATATACCCTTTGCTGAAGCCTTGGCTAATATGCCTAATTATGCCAAGTTTATGAAGGACTTGTTATCAAGAAAACACAAGCTGCAGGAATGCCAGACAGTAACACTCACTGAGGAGTGTAGTGCCATAATACAGAAGAAGTTTCCTCCCAAACTTCATGATCCAGGGAGTTTTAATATTCCTATTGCCATTGGTAACACAAATGTTGGCAAAGCTTTGTGTGATCTTGGGGAAAGTATAAATTTGATGCCCTTGTCCGTGTATAAATCTTTGGGGATATCTGAGCTCAAACATACTATGGTTTCCTTGCAACTTGCTGACAAATCTTTAAGAAAACCCAGTGGTATAATTGAAGATGTCCTTGTGAAAGTGGACAAGTTCATCTTTCCAGCAGATTTTGTAGTTTTGGACATGGAAGGGGGAACTGAAATGCTTCTTTTGCTGGGTAGACCTTTCTTGGCCACTGCTCGGGCCATGATTGATGTTGAAAACAGAAAGCTTGAGTTAAGGATGAATGATGAGACCATTACCATCAACGTCTTTGACTCTATGAAACAATCTTCTGACAAAGGCGATTGTTTTAGACTTGATGTTCTAGAGCAAGCGGTGAAAGAAGAAATATCTTCTAGTCAAGAGCTTGATGAAGAATTTGAAGCGCGTGATATTGTTCCTTTTAAGGAAGAAAAGAATGTGGCGTTTGAGGTTCTTGAAAAAAAGATGATGACAAAGAAGATGATGCCTCTAAAGTGGAGTTGAAGGAGCTTCTTGAAACTTTTAAATACACCTTCTTGGGTGATGAGGAGACTTACCCTGTTATCATTAATAAGGGATTGTCTTCTGAGCATGAAAGAAGGTTGATTGAAGTGCTGAAGGAACATAAGACTGCCATAGGGTGGTCTATCTCTGATTTGAAAGGTATAGATCCTTCTTTTGGTACCCACAAAATTGACATGGAGGATGATGTCAAACATGTGAGGAAACCTCAAAGGAGGCATAATCCTACAATGAAGAAGGTAATGAGAAAGGAAGTGGTGAAACTCTTTGATACTGGTTGGAGGATGTGTGCGGATTACCGGAGGTTGAAGGCCGCCAAAAAGAGAATCTGTGAGAAGAGACACCGAGACTCTATCTCTCAGAGAAAACAATACTTCAAAGAGTTCTTCACATGGCTTCATGGTTGGAATCAAATCTGGGAATGGTGGTCTCATGCACCGATGCATCCAGTACCACCAGATCCTCCATTTGCTGAGTCATCCCATGCTGTTGAGGGGGATGACATGGAGGATTGATTATATCTCCTTGCTGACGGAGATTTCGTGTATATTAGTTTATTTTTCTTTTTAGTACTTTTGCTGTTTTATTATGACCATAGGTTGATGTTAGGGTCATTTAGCTGTTTTGAGTTGGTAAATTTCCCAAACACTCTGATGCTTTATTGTGTGCATTATAGTTTATCCTATATGCCGCTGGTTGTTCTATGATGCAGGTTATTCATCCATCTTTTGGTTTGATTATTGCTGGGGACAACAATTCTTTAAATCTGGGAATGGTAGGCTTTAAGAAAGCATCTTGGAACTGCAATTCTTTTATCAGGGGAGATATTCTAAACTCGTTTATTTGCTTTATTTTATTTTAGTTAGTATTTTGTGTCATTTTTTTTTATCTTTATTTCTAAATATATATAAATATATATATATATATATATATATATATATATTGATCTGTTTCTCAAGCAATTCCCAGGTTTAGATATGCTTTCCCCTAGTTAATTTGACTGATTTCATCATAGAAAGCATGTATTGTATGAACTTCTAGCATGATATTGCATAGGCATGAGTAGAATTCATGATTGCTCGTTTGTCTGAATTTTATGCTTGAATGATTAATGATGCCTGATGTTTCTTTTGAGAGTCTAGCTTGATACCATAGCTGGTGAGGTCTTGTGCTTAAACACTTATTTTATTCTTGAGTGACCTCACTGTGGTAGCACTCTAGAACTTGCTCTGTTTCTCTGTGATACATGCATTGATTGAAATGATTAAGGCAATCTTATTCTTGTTAGCCATGGCCAGATAGTCCACCTGTTTGATTTTTCCATTGTTAGCCCCTTTGAGCCTGAGCCTATTTGTTCATGATGCCTGCTGATTGCTTAGCCATGCTCCTATTGTCTTACCTTTGTTGAGATTGAAATGTTTGACAAGAAAAGAAAATCAATTGAGGTAAACTCCACTGAAGCTAAGTAATATAACTTTAAAAAAAGAAGAAGAAGAAAGAAAGTGTGTATAACAATGTGAAAAAGGTGGAAAATAAAAGGAATGGAACCCTGATCTTAAAGAATAATGGAGCTTAAATTTGTTTGAGACTTGATTATTTTGCAAGTGTATATTAGTGTTTCAATCTCAACTTATAATTTTAGCCACTTTCCATAAATTCCTACCCCTAAGCCAGGCCAAGTTACATCCATGTGAAGTCCTTTTGATCAATTGTGCATGTGTTAATGTTTCTCATCTTTAGGAACTTGAGAATATGATCAAGCTTATGGTAGTGCTATTGCTGTGGTGGATCGAGTGATTGTTATTTTCCCAAACACTTGAGTGCTGAGTGTTGTATGTTTATCTTGGTGAGGGGTGTTCAAGTTAGATGCTGACATTTTCATGAGAATAGAAGGCATTGTTAAGAACTCCTTGCATTGATTCAGTCATGCTTAGCATAGTGATCTATCGATTATCTGTGTGATGTTGTGCTAGCTGGTTGTTTTTGGTTCTTCTATGTTTGAATTTTGTCTGTTGCTGGGGACAGTAACATTTAAATCTGGGAATGGTTTGATATGCCTCTGGCAGATGTAGATTTCTAAGCTGAAATTTATAAGAATTGAGTCATAAAAGAGCAATTTATATATATATTTGCTTACTATATTGATTCTTTCCATGTCAATGATATTTCTCACCTGTTGGTTGTGTTTATATAGGTAGAAGAAGTGAAAACTACAAAATTGTAAAAAGCTTGTTGACGTGACTCCACACGGGTGAACCTTGGGCCAAATTCCAGAAAGTTGGCGCAAACTGGCGCAACTCTAGCGCAAGATGGCGTCGTGCTCCTCAGTACAATTTCCAGAGAATCGGCGCAAGTTGGCGCCATACTAGTGCCAACCCGCGCCGGTTTACGATTTCACAAGACCGTGATTTTACAAATGACAGAACTATGGCGCGGACTGGCGCCACACTGGCGCAGACCCGCGCCGGTTTGCGAGAAAACAAACCGTGTTGTCTGAAGGGTATTTTTGGAAGAAAGAAGCAAGGTATATATATAGGATGCTCATGACAGAGTTGGAGAGCCCTATTCTATTGAAGAGAGACGACGGTGGTGCTCAGAGAGAGAGAGTCTTACAAGAATCTATTTCATCTTCTTCTTCCCCTTTTCATTTATCAGTTTATGTTGAATATTGAATTTTCAGCCATGACAATGGTTGGCTAAGTTCTTTTTACTGTAGTTAGGGTCACGAACCTTATGTGAACCCTTGTTACAACAGATTGATTTATAATTCTTTGTTTATATAATTATCTTTATCTCTACCCTGTGCGTAATTTATATCTTCTTTATTAGAATTGATCAATCTAATAGTTGATGATAGTTTGAGGGTTAGAACCCTAGATAGGAATATTGGGGTTTTGATCTTGAAAGGGGGTAGGATAACAATTTATATGCATGCTAGGAATAGATGTATATTTAACTGCAGATGCTTAAATTATTGGGTTCAATTCTTAATGCCATGAGGAACATTGCAAGGAATTGGGGTTCCAATTGGGGTTAAAGGGTTAATCTTGCAAGGAATTGAGGGTTAACTACTGAATAATTTTAGATAATAATTTATTTGAGTAATTATATAAATGAATATTGTAAATCAATCCATAGTAAGAAGCAGGAATCATTTGGTGAGTGCACTCTAGCTACAATGCCATCTCATATTTTTACAAAACCACTCTCTGTTTTATTTCTCATAAACAAAAAGCCAAAAATAAGTCTTTACTTTTAGTTCTTATTTTTACTTAAATCAACAACAATTTTCACACACCTATTTGAATTCCTCCCATCTTAAAAGGACAATTATTTGATATTCGATCACAATCCCTATGGAGACGATACTTTTCTTATCACTGTATTACTTGTGCGATCGGAATACTTGCCGGTGAGTATCAAGTTTTTGGCGCCGTTGCCGGGGATTGAGGTTTCTGATATCATATAAACTTGATTCTTAAGATTGGATTGTGTGAATACTTTTATTTTATTTTATTTTGTTTATTTTTATTTTTATTTTTATTTGAAAACTGCTACTAATCTCCTTTCTGAGTTGTATGCGACGCAAAACTGCAGAATTTCCATTTGATTCGGAGATTACAAAGACTGAAAAGAGGAACAGAAAACTCGCTCGGAAGAAGCTTGCATTCAACGAGTTAGAGACTCTTTATGAAGAACCGTAAATCATGGCTGAAAATAATGATGCAGACAATCCACTCATGGATACCATTCTAACTCCCTCTTTTAACTGGCCCAACTCGAGCATTGTTCAGCCTAATGTTGCCAACAACAATTGGGAGCTCAAATATTCCTATATTCAATTAGTGGAGAGAGCTCAGTTTGGAGGAGAGGAGAGTGAAGATCCTCACAGATTTATTGACAGATTCTTGATGATCTGTGACTCAATCAAACACCCTCAGGTGTCTAATGATGCAATCCGGTTGAGGTTGTTCCTTTTTGCTGTTAAGAGAAAGGCTTTTGGTTGGTTGGAAAGGCATCCTGCAAGAAGCATTCCTACATGGGATGATTTGTCTCAAAAGTTCTTTGCTGAGTTCTTCTTGATGGAGATATACAATCAGATTATGACTGATATCACCAATTTCATTCAATCAGAGGGTGAATCTATGTGTGAAGCATGGAACATATTCAATGATTTAATGAGGAGGTATCCTCATTATAACTTGTCTGCTGGTAATCAGGTGATAATCTTCTTTAATGGTTGTAAACCTGAGGTTCGGATGGTGTTGAATGGTGCAGCAGGTGGCACTATTAAATCGTTGAGGGAAAATGAGACTCTTTAGCTGATTGAAAGAATGGCTGCAAATGAAAATGAAGGTTTGTCATCCAAGCCTAAGAGAGGTATCCTTCAGCTGGAAGGTAATGATGTGGTGCTAGCTGAAAACAAATTATTATCTCAGCAAATAGCAAACTTGTCCTCAAGGCTTGACAAGATGCAGCTTTCTGGTATTCAGGCTCAAGCTGCTGCTGTTGTATGTGAATATTGCAAGGACAATCATGAGTCTAATGAATGTCCTTCTTTTATGGCTTCTGATTCTCCGCAACAAATGCAAGTGAATGGCATCTGGTATGATCAGAGACCTCAGTAGCAAAATGTTCAACGAGGTCAGAATTTTTCTGCTGGAGGTAGTAATTATCAACGGAGGATTCAAGGCACTGGTCTTGATTTCACATCAAACAACTATCTGCAACCTCCACCAATCCAAACCAAGGAACCTTCTAATTTGGAGAGGTTAGTTGGACAAATGGCTCAACATTCCAACGCCTTCATGGAAGAGACTAGGGCCAATACCAAAAATACAAATTCATCTATCAGAAATTTGGAGAATCAGATTGGCCAACTGGCTAAGTAAATTACTGATAGAACTCCAGGTACCTTCGCTAGTAATACAATTACTAATCCAAAGGAAGATTGTAGGCTATCACAATTCGAAGTGGTAAAGTGGTGGCAGCTCCAGAAAAGCCAAACATAAATGTAGGAGCTGATGAGAAATTTCAGGAGGTTAAGGAGCCAGAAAAAGAATTGGTAATTCCTTCTACTGTTGAGAAGTTGATGAACCCTTAGTTCATCATGGTTTTTAGCAGGAATTAGGATCAAATTGTGTGATTAAATGATGAAAAATAAGGTTAATGTCCTAAGATGTCCTCAATTACAAGTTCAAGAGCTTTATTGGAAATTTGTATGATTCTTGTAGGAAAAGCAAGCTTGAAAGACAACTGGAGAAGGAAGAAGATTCTGGAGCTCAAGAGGAGAAAAATTGCCTAACTGTTGAGCGCTAAAACGTCCACACTGAGCGTTTTAGCGCCCTGTTACAGGAAGAGGCCAAAACTTGCTGGTGATGAGCGCTAAAACATCCACACAGAGCGTTTTAGCGCGCTGCTACACTAAGAAGATGGAAAATTGCTGGTCTTGGACGCTAAAACGGCCTGCAATATGCGTTTTAGCGCCCTAAAGTGGAAAAAAGATTCTGGTCTTCACCGCTAAAACGTCCAAATCAAACGTTTTAGCGTTGGAGTCAGTTAAAGTTAGTTGAGCATTCGTAAAGCATGGACGCTAAAACGGCCACTTATGGACGTTTTAGCGCCCACATCAGTTTTCTGTTTTTAATTGTAACACTATATAAGGCAAAGCCTTGACACTTAGAGGAGAATCTTGGGGGATCTGACTCTCTCTCTCTCTCTTAAACTTAGTCTGACTTCTCTCTAAATTCTTTTAGTTTTTGTATTAGGATTTCCTTGTAATAGTTTGGAGATTGAAGACTTTCAACATGGAAATGAAGTTTGCTTCTTCTTTATTCTTTAGTCATGTCTGAGTAGAGACTTTGTAGTCTGAATGCAATGGAACTCCATGATAATATTATGTTGATTTGATTAATATGATGAAGTATTTTTCATGTGCTGATTTGAGATTTTCTGAGTTAATTATTTCTATCAATGAAGTAGTATAGAACAGGGATGTTTATATGACTTCTGTATTTGATAATCTCAACATCAGAACTCTAGTACTCAAGGGATTGATGCTAGAGTTCTGATGTAATCTTAAAACCTTAGTATTTCATGCACGTATTAAGAAAGAAATCACCAAGGGATTGGGGTTTCAGATTAATGTTTCTATCAGGGTAGTAAGGGATTACATCTTGATGATAAGTAAAAGGTTGATTAACACCACATGGAAAGGAATTCATCATATGATCAATTCTTATATGGTTTATCATGGAGGAAAGTTGTTTTCTGACTACTTGTTATTTTTATTAATTCCTAATCCATATTTACTTGTGTCAATTTACTCAAAATCAATTTTCTGGTGACAAATTATTCATGATTTTTACAAACTCTTATTTGATTCAAATTAGTTTTCTATGGTATATTGGTGTTTGAACACAATTCCTCGTGGGAACGATCTTTACTCATCATTTTATTACTTGTACGACTAGTGCACTTGCTAGATCCGCAACAAGTTTTTGGCGTCGTTGCCGGGAAATTTGTTTTTCAACACTAACTGATACTATAGAATTCTGAGATTGAATCCTTTTATTTTCAGTATTTTAGTTTATGTTAAAATTCTGGTCAATTTTGATTCTGGTACATGCGAGGTACACTTGATCCAAATTTGTTGTTGTATGATCCAGAATTAGAAAGGACATTGAGGAAGCACAAAAGGGCAGCCAGGCAAAGGAGACAGTTGTAAGAAATTGGTGAATCAAGTACGGTTAATCAGGAAGATATAATGGCAGAGAATCACAGACCACCACCACCACAGAGGACACTGGGAGAGTACATGACTCCTGCAGTGGTTCCTCCAATTGGGAGTGTTGTGCGCCCAACAGTGGAGCCCAACAACTTTGAATTGAAGCCTGCTTTGATACATTTGGTGCAGAAGGATCAGTTTGCTGGAACCAGTGCGGAGGACCCTTACTTGCACATAGAGAACTTCCTATTGTTAAGTGATACTGTGAAGATAAACAGTGTCACAAGAGATGCAATTCTGTTGAGACTATTCACTCATTCACTGACGGATGATGCAAGGAGATGGCTGCAATCATTGCCACAAGGAAGTATAACAACTTGGGATGATTTGCAAACCAAGTTCTTGCAAAGGTTTTTCTCAGCATCCAAGAGGGCCAAGTTGAAGGATGAAATTACAAGCTTTAAGCAGAAAGAGTCAGAATCTATTTATGAGGCTTGGGAGAGATTCAAGACTTTGTTGAGGAAATGTCCACAGCATGGAATTGAGGCATGGCAACAAGCAGCAATCTTCCTGCAAGGAATGACCACTAACACTAGAACCTTGGTGCATGCCACTGCTGGTGGATCATTGACTACCAAGACCCCTCAAGAAGCTTTAGATATCTTTGAGTCATTAGCATCTCAAGAATTTGATAATGCTCCAGTGGCTGACAGAAGGACAGGAATTATCAGGTTGGATGGGTATGATGCTTTGTTGGCAAGGAATGATCAACTGATGCAGACACAGAGACAACAGCAGCAACAATTAGATACCCTTATTAAGCAACTCTCTTCACAAAAGGTAGCTTCTGTGGAAACAAAGAGTGTATGTGCTATCTGTGGTAAGGGCCATGTGACAGAGGAGTGTGATTATGGGGGATCATCAGAACAAGCAGAGGTGAATAGAGTGTGGTATGATCAGAATAATCAAAGGAACTACAACAATCAGGGAAAGAATGTTCATATGCCACCATGGAAAAACAAGAATCAACACCCAGGATTCAGCTATAGTTCCAACCACCAATTGAATCCACCATTACATCCTCCACCACCACATATGAAGGAGCAGTCAAGTGATCCTACTGCATGGGAGAAAGCGTTTGCTCAGTTATCTAAGACAACTCAGGATTATATTCAGGGTTCTACTTCATTCAGGGAAGAGACAACTGCATTCATGCAGGAGACCAGAACTTATTTCAGAAATCAGGAAGCATCAATCAGAAATTTGGAGACCCAGATTGGTCAATTATCAAGACAGATATCAGAGAGACCACAAGGGAAATTTCCAAGTGATACACTGGTGAATCCTAAGGAGCACTGTAAAGCAATTATGACAAGAAGTGGGTTGGTACTTCAACCAGGGAAAAAGAAGGTGGAAAATAAAAAGAATGAAGAAGAGGTTGTGGTTGAAGATGTAGTCTCTGATGATGAAGGAGAGAAAATAAGAAATGAGAAAAGTGAGAAGGAAGTAGTTGTTAGAGATGTTATAGTTGGAGTTGACAAAGAAGAGGAAGGGAAGGACAATAAGAATGAAGGAGAGGTAGAAGTTGGTAAAAATGCTTCCCCACAAAAGATGATAAAGTGGGAAAAGAAGAAGATGGCTAACAAGAAAGAACAGCCAGTTAGTTTATCTCCCTATGCTAAAGTTCCTTACCCTCAGAGGTTGAAGAAAGAGATTCAGAAGCAGCACTATGCAAGATTTCTGGATATCTTCAAAAATTTACAAATTAACATTCCATTTTCTGAAGCACTGGAAAATATGCCTCACTATGCAAAATTCATGAAGGATCTTCTTACTAAGAAGAGGAAATTAACTGATGGTGAGACAGTGGCCCTAACAGCAGAATGTAGTGCCCTATTCCAGAAGAAGCTTCCTACAAAAATGAAAGATCCAGGAAGCTTCAGTATCTCTATTGCTATAGGAGATGTGAAGGTGGGAAAGGCATTGTGTGATTTGGGAGCCAGTATAAACTTGATGCCATTGACAGTATGTAGAGCTTTGAGAATTAACACTTTAAAGGAGACCAATCTTATTCTGCATCTTGCAGATAGATCTATCAAGAGGCCTGAAGGTGTGGTTGAAGATGTCTTGGTCAAGGTAGACAAGTTTATTTTTCCAGTGGATTTTGTGATTCTTGACATGGAGGAAGAGGATACAGAAAGTCCTTTATTGTTAGGAAGACCCTTTTTAGCAACTACAAGATCTTTGATAGATGTTGAACAAGGAAAGTTGTTGCTAAGGGTGGATGAGGAAACAGTTACAATTGATGTATTCGAAACCATCAAGCATCCTGTTGATGTGGAGGATTGTTTTAGATTGGATGTGATACAGGAGGTTGTGGAAGAAGTGAATAAAAAACAAGAATTCCCAGTTGAGGAACAAAGATCAGAAGAAGAGATAGGTACAGAGGATTACCAAGAAGAGCCAGAAGTGGAAGA